GGTTCATCACCAGATTGAATCTGGTTAAATGGCAAGGAACATACAGTCTTAATACATGAGAATTTGAAGATAACCAGTCCTTTTAATTTTCTAAAATGAGAGCTTATTCCTCCTAATTAGCTAAGCAACATAACAAGAACAGTTTCCAGCAATATGCATCACAGTACAAGATGACCAATAAGGAAAACTCAAAAAGCCTAGGGCAACCCATTTACCACAAGCCTCCTCCCCTTCAAAGCTCTTCATCTTCCTTTGCTCTCAGGCTTGGCCCAAACGCTTGACTCTCTCCCCCCAGAATCACCAAAATGCTCTTTTTATGCACCTCACAGATGGTATTTATGAGAAAAATAAACCACTTCCTTTCCCTGCTTCCCATTACCACTCCCACTCCTCATAGCTGGGAATAAAGAAGGCTGCCTCTCTTCAACACAGCCTTTTCTAAACTTTTCCCCCCCTCTTTATCTCCCCCTTTCCATCCTCTCAGTGTCAATTTCCCTCAATAATTCTCCTTATGGTGTTTTTTGACAACCCACTGAAAATTCTAAATAAACATTTATGAATATCTGCAACAAGTCTGCTTCCTTCTAAGGTAAATTCAGATAAATTAAGATGCAAAAAATAAGGTCAGTGAGAGACAGAAGGTCAAAGTGTCTGAACAAAAGGTCTTGTTGCAATTCACCCATTTCACAAGCTAAATTATACAAAAAGAGAATGAGCACTTGAAACTGTGGATTCTATTCTAGACAGTCACTAACAAGACTGAATAAGAATTCACTTTAACGATATCATACCTATTTTTAACATCCAGCCTATATCGAAGTATTTTATTAATAACAAGCATCTATCCAAATTATCTCAGTGGGTTCCTCATCAAAACTTCATAAGGGGGAAAAAAAACTTTTTAAAGTTATATCCCAATTTGTCTAAACAAAACAGACAAAACTCCCTAGAAGAAAATAATTAACAAAATTAAGATTTTTTTAAAGGGTTTTAAACAAAAATGATTGGCAGGAAAGAGAATTAGAACTAACAAAGTTGACATTTTCCCCCCTGCAAGCTACAATGATGACAGCCCCTTAGGCTATACTTAACAGGGCAGCACAGCTAATGGGGTCTCCTACACAGACTTGATGGCCTGATTTTTCCTGCACTTCAAATAACAACCCAGTCCCTAGACATCCTCAGCTCTCTCTTAGGAGTTTGTTCCATCATAAAACCTACATGACAATCAAAGATCAGCCAGAAGACCCACTGGGCTGGAGATGCACAGCTACCAGGAGCAAAACGCTCTAAGAAGAGACTACAACAGCCCAGAATTGTATAAGCACGTTGGAGGGAAGGGAAGAGGCGCATGTGTGGGAAGGCCTTGTCTTGGGTAAGTGTTTTATATGGAACAAAACCTGAAAACCAAAGGCCTAAGAGCTGAGCAGAAAGAGGATGGGGTGGGGAAGGGATTGAAGAAAACTGGCTGCCGCAGGCATGAACCCAGGCGAATAAGGGGCTCTGGAGGTGTGCAGCCACCTTCTCAAATGTTGGGGAAAATACTTTTCCCAGTCAGTCTGTTTTCGACAACACACATTCACCGAACCTCTCTGTGCATGGCTCTATTCTGAGTTAAAGAATTTTAGAGGTGGAAAGAATCTTTTACACCCTGGGGTATAATCACGTTATTTACTGATCAACAGACTGAGACCCAAGTAGATTAGGTAATTTTTTTAAATAGCTTGCACGTTAATTCATTCAACAAATACTTAAAGATGCCTACTGTGTGCCAGGCATGATTTTAAGCATTGAGGATGTAACAGTGAAAGAAAGAAAAAAAAAAGCAGGCAAAAATCCTTGCCAGCAGGGAGCTTACATTCTACTGGGAAGAGTAACTGTGTCAGGCAGAAAGCTAAACACAGTACAGATGTTAAACTTCTTTGGCCTCAAATCACATAGGTAGTTTAAGACAGGACAAGAAATCAAGCCACCTGATTCCAAAGTCACTGCAATTTCCACTCTGCCACAGTTAGATACTGGTGGTAAATCAAAGACAAGTCATATTCCCTGTTCTTATAAAGCTCACATTCCAAGCTGATAAGAATAGACAGCGGAACATTACCAAGGAATTGAGCAGTGGACAAAACAGGAGAACAAGGAGGTGGGACTGGTAATTGTTTTTGTCAAATAAAAGACACAACATTTGATTTTTTTTTTAGGTCTTCAATGTTTCCTTTGGGTGTTGGAGTAGAAAAACAGGAATTAGTGTTCTGGGAAGTTAAAAGTAGACTGACAAAATTAGGACAGTGGTTACCTCTGGTGAGGAACTGGTGGATGCACTAGGGAGGAATATCCATGGAGTCTCAATAAAACTGGCAACGTTCTAGTTCTTAAGTTGGGTGAAGCGCCTCTGGGTGTTCATTTTATCATTGCTACATACATGTTTTCACATTTCAACTATTACGTCATAAACATGAGCACAGGGGGAATGATTTGAAGGAAAGAAGTCAGGATACGCAACCAAATAAGGGAAGAAAATTTAGAGCATTAATAAATTAAAAAATAAAGTCATTGTTAATGAAGGTGATGTAACAATACGACCCAAAGGCAAAGATAAAATAGTGATGTTAAAGTTAACAGCCTTTAACAGAAAAATTAATAGAATAAGGGCCCTATTCTCCTCTTTCCCTTCTCCCCACCTCATATACTGGACTCAAAGGTCACCGAGTGCGGATGAGTCAGGAAATGATATAAAATGCTGCTAGTTTACACTTTTGTTAAACCCTGAAAAACCACTTAAGGGCTGAGGTTTGTCTGCATCTGGGTACTTTGCAGGTTCTTAGGTAGGGCAGTCATTTTTCTACACTCTGTTCTCCCACCTCAACTTTCATTTCTTTTCTGTGACCCAGCATCCAGTCTGGGGTATTCAAATGACACGATATGACCTGGACAATAGTCAAAGTGTGTCATCCTCCTCCCCAATGCCATGCATATTATCCCACCACCAGTGTCTGCGAGCTGCAGCAGG